CTGGTAATCATGTAGACGCAGCAGTAGATGTTATGATGATAGTGTATTTATCTATATATAGCTCAAAGCATTGTCAAATGAGCCGTTTAATGAGGATGGAATCAGGTCTTTTGGAGGCATAGTCTTTCTTACCGTCCAAAACGGTGGGCATTTCTGCAACTTTTTTCTCACATTCATCAGGATGCTGGGTCTGGTATCAGTTGCTGTAGTGTAAATCAGGAGGAAATCCACTGAATCTAGTGCCATTTCTGTACCAGTGTAAGATTATGATTGGGACTTTTCACCAGGAGAGAGTCATTTCCTTTCAGCTTTGTTCATTCACAGTTCTTTTCAGTCTCATGTTAGATTTTAGTCTCTTCTTTTTTTTTCCACATTACATTTTACTTGCCCTTTACTGCTACTTGTCCTCTTCAGCTTTCTTTTCTCTTCCACGGTAAGAGGCTTTAAAGTGAGGTGGATTGGGTGTCTCTTTGAAATTTTTTTTTTTTTAAACACCAGATTTACTGTAGTCAAATGCAAGTAAGCGACTTCAACAGAGGTTTCACTGAGTGGAATATAAATCCACCATGATATACCAGCAATTGGTTTTAAATGATCTGTTTATCTTTTTTGGCCTAAAACTTTCTAAAACTATAAAAAGAAAGATGGGGGAAAACATGTTACCAAAGGTGGTCTTTTTTTGCCTCTCCATTACTTGGTTCTTGTTTATTTTTTCAGAGAATGAAATTGGGATTTCATAACTACCAGCTAAATGAAACCTCTTGGTTTAAAAAGGAAATGCAGTGCAAAACCTTGGGAGATGTAATTCTGCTCAGCTGAAAAGCAATGAATAACAGTAGTATAATAAGGATGAAAAGAGTCTTACAAAAAAGACCTTCCCAGAGATATTTTAAGACCTGAGGTCATGCATTAGGTCATGAGCTCCTTAGCATTTGGTGTGGTATCTGAGTAGACCCTTGGGTTATAGATCAGGGCAGGTGCAGAAGACTGTCCTATAAATACTTTTACCCTTAAGGAGCTCACAGCCTGCAGAGAGTTGCCTTCTTGAGTGACAAATTGGAAAGAAACATGTTACTTCTGAAGGGGAAGATAATAATTTTAGAAGAACTTAGGGGTTTATTTTCCAACATGTAATCGCCCAGTTTTTAAATTTAAAAGTTGAGATGTTCTTCATGGTTACCTTAAAAATGTTAACAGAAAATCTTTTACGGGGTATAGCATGTATTTATTAAGCGTGACTGGCATGTTCAAGGGTATTTCTGTACTCAATCGCTGCCTATTGGGCTGCGCGGAGAACTGACCGTCAGGATTGTGACCTTCTATTTTAAGCTGTGCCGTTGCCTTATGGCTTGAGTGTATATGACCAGTGCCCTCGGGGGAGTTTTGCCGTTTAGACACATCTCCTAGAAATACAGTCCATGGGCTCACTTAATGCGAGGCCCTCTGAGACCCTTGCAGGATAAAATACGCTACACTGCAATGGTAAAAGCTGCCTAATTTCATCAGTACCTATTGTTTTATTTGTTTTCCAGGTGAATACAGATGTTTTCAGTCTCCGATTTCTCCATGTTTTGCCACACTTCTGTTGCTCCTTTTGTCCAAAATAAACCTTCCAGCTTTACAAGGGCTGCAGACGTCTCGGAGACCTTTGTGAAGTGAGTCTGTAATTTTATTTACATTTGCCTCCTTATGAGTGAACACTCCATTTCTTCACAAATGAAGCATACAGGCCTGTGAGCTCACTCTGACTGACCTGATTTCAATCCTTAATCATCTTTTAAGAGGACTGTTTTCAGAGAACTGGCAGAACCAGTTAGTATGAAGTTAGGTGTCATTTCCTGCATATTCCATTAAAAAGAAAAAAAAAGGCAATTCCAGCCCTGCTATGTTTGAAGTCTTTCCCAATTACTACCTCCGCCTGCCCTGTTGGCTGTTCTCAGAATTAGCAGTGAGAACAGCCTCTGACCAGTCCGACCCGTCCACAAGAGCAGGTCCTCCTCAAGGCAAGTTCTGCCTGTGCCCGTGCCTGTGCCTGTGCCTGTGAATACATGGCATGACAGAAGCTTCATGATACCAACAGGTTCCAGCCCATCCTGGGAAACAATACCATATGGTCATTAACCCCCAAGTGCCACATCATCTCCTCACAGGTGGAATAAGGAAGTTCAAAAAAATACATACTTCTCTGGTTCTTTTTGTTGGCTGGCTGGATTTTTAAAGAGCCCGATTAAATTAACAGAATTCAAAATGAGTGCAGTAGGTATTTCTTTTTAGTATTAACCTCTGTTACAGTTTCCCCAGAAGCAAATACAACTGCTGTTAGGGAGTTCCTGCACCCATTGCCAATGAGAGAGTTGAGACACCCGCTGTGATGGGAAAAAAAACAACAAAAAAAAAAACCCCAGAAGTACTATTGCAGAATCGGTATTATCTCAAATAATCAAAGTTTGTGCTGCCTTCTTTTCTTTTCAGTATACAAAATTAATTTGTAAACAGTCTTTCTTCGAGTATCTATTAAAGAGGGAGAGACTACACAAGCTACTTGATTTCCAAGCCTGTCTTTCTTAGCCAGCTGGAACAGAACTTTCCATGCAGCTGGAGCTGTTAGTGAAAGGTAAGATGAACATGTTAACGCGTGTTTGTACTTTACGTATTGTCTCTAACAGAAAGAAACTACTTAAATCACCACTGGACAACCCCCACGGATGCAGGGTTGTCTTGATACAAACAAAGTGTATTAATTAGACATTTTCATGCAAATGGAACCTCGAGATCTTATTTTTCTGTGGAGGTGATGGCATCCTCCAGGTATTTTTTTAAACTTTGAGTTCCTTTCCTTCCCACATACCTCATACTTTCTCATGTGTCCCAGAGGTTCCCTGTCATTCTTTAGAAAAATGGAGCTGCACAGGAATTCTTTTAAGAGCCTATCAGCACCACTCCCAAATTAGGCAGACAGGATACTGTTTGTTTAATTTCGCAAGACATTTGCTTTACCCAAAGGCAAAAGCACTACCTCACAGAATTCCCAGCCATGAGGCTCTGTGCTTTTAAAGGACTTTTTTTTTTTTTTTGTGGCAGAGGAGTAAGTTATCCTAACCAAGGAACAAAACATATTGATGCATTTCACAATGCAGTCACGTTGTGGAATAAAATATAATTAGATGTCTTTTAAATACTTTACTATACTCGCTTAAGAAAGGCCCTAATCTGCTCTAATTGGCTTCACAGTAAAAGCGAAATAACTGCAAAGGGAAAAATTGGCTGCAAATAAATCTACAGACTTTTGCCATTGTCTGATGTTTTTAAGCAGTCCATGCCAGTGCATTGCTGTTTATATTTTGATGGGTTTAAGTAGTATTTCCTTAGGACTTGATAGATATGGATTAATGAACATTGTCTGTATAGCGGAGAAAGAATTTCACTCTCTAGAAATAAATTACCTACTACTTTTTAATTGCTGTTCTCATAGGAGTTTGGATATTAAGGATATTTGGATAGATGCAGTGAGAAATCATCTTTTCTTTAGCTAGGCATCAGGAAAGCTTCTGCTCTGCCAATGGTAGTACACATGCTCTAGTAGCAAAATACCGGAATGCCAGCGCCTAGCTGTGACCCTCTGTGAACTCGGTGTGGTTCACAGCTGAATTCACATTCTGGCCTTTCTCAGGAGCGGAGCGGGACGCGGAGCGCCCTGCACGCCTCCGCGTCGCCCTGCCCTCGCCGTCGCGGGGCAGCTCGCCCCAGGGCTGCGGAGCCTCGCAAGTCAGCCCCGATCACCGGTGGTTATTCCGCTCGTTCTCCACGCGCTTGCTGCTCGAAACACCACGGTACGAAACACTCGTGTGCTTCGGTTTGTGGGCGGAACGCAGCAGCCCGGGGGCCGCAGCGCGTTCCCTCCTGCTGCCACCCAACCTCGGTTCAGCTGATCCGCTGACAGCAGCGGGGAGGAATTTCTGCCGCGAGCGCTGAGCGCGGACCAGGAGGCCGCTCAGCTCTTTGTGCACGCCC